AAAAAAAAAACTACTGGAATGCTCCCCCACGCACCTGGAGCAGCGATATCAGGGATTTCGATTCTCGGCTGCATACGCGAAGTTAGCACCCTATGCTTGTGCCACCAGTAGTCGTTTGATTTCGTTTGCTCTGATCCTTCAGTAGCAAGACGGCAGCGTTAATTTCCCAATGCGCTGCACTCTTTAGGTTTGCTCAGTGGTACTTATGTTACAAAAAATGTGCACTTGTGTTTAATTCTGAACAAATTTTGGTTTTACCTCATCGCTTTCTCTTCATTTTCTGATGATATTACTTCTGAGAATGAAAAACCAACTCATGTTTAATACAATATATATGCAGACAAATATAAAGGAAGTGAAAACAAAGACAAAGAGAGCAATAAAGTCAAAATCTGGAGACAAGAAGACGTCTCGGTCCATTAAGTTTCAAAAGTATTAGCTCAGCCTTCGATTCTGCATGTCATATTTCTCCTCGATCTTAATATTCTTCATATTTCATATGCAACGTTCCGGACGCGTTTTTTATTCGTCGCCTGTTTTTTTTTTTCTTTTTGAAGCGTCTTGGATGAGGCGTTCCTTTGCACAATGGTTGAGACAGGATCGGATTATTTCTCTCCATATCCGGAAGCGATTTGCTATCCAGCGCAGCGCTAGATCCTTGTTGCCTAGGTTCAACTTGCAGCCACTTCTATGGTGCGTCCGTCTTTAATAAGAAAATACACCTTTTTTCCCTGTATGCCTCTCCTAGCTGCATTTTGTGGCTGCTTCTTCTTTGCCGGCTTTTCGCGGGTTTTCCGCTACGTGGACTAAGTAGTAACTAATCCTTGTACTGAAAAAATTGCTCCAAGTTTTATCGGAACAATGCACGCGCATTGAAGCAGTGTGTAAAACTAATAAAATTTCGGTGCTTTTTCAGACATTTTTTCCGAGTGGAACATGGATAAACGAAGTGCATTTTTTTCCTCCTTGTTGAGTTGTTGTTTCAAAAAGGAATGAAACATCACTGAGGAGGACAAGAGAAAAGGAGAGGGTGTGCTGTTGGAACACAATTAGCATAATACCATTTGGCTAGGATACTGTCATTTTCTGTTTCCACTAATTGTATTTCCCAATCTCACCGCCAAACGCTACTTCTCTTCATCGCTTATTTTGCATTCTCTCAATTTCAAATTCTCCTCATCTCAGCAAGAACAAAGTTTCAAAGATTGAATTCTGAAGTAGCTGCGAAATTTTATTAAATCCGAGAGAAAAAAATATCCTGGATTATCGATTATCCGGCTGTAAGTGACGAAGAAGGAAAAACAAGAGAAGTGGAACAGATACGCGTTCATTTTCCCGCAACTATTATCAAAAAGTAATTTGAAGCATCCACAGCCACTGGTACCTAGGATTTACGGCTCAAAAAAAAAGACGAATTCTGTTCGGAGAGAATTAGGAAATGTCCAGATAACAACAAATTACTACTTTCACCAGCGCTATCATCAGCGAAATTTGGGTGGCACTACGAGAAATAGCTGTTGCTGCTACGATGGCTTTGCATCCACAAATTGTCTTCATTCTGATGCATATGACTGCTGTTATGCTACTCGCTATTATTGGCAACTTATTCCTAATTTTTATTATTTTTCGCGCAAATGCTACCGTAAAACGACGAATTTCGCCAGTCCAGGTAATTTTTTTTTCTGCACGAGAAATAGAAAAAATGTGTGCCTTCCAAGCATATATATATATACATATATATAGCA